TTCTACTACTTTTGTGACAGTGTATGTCATTAACAGCATGACTTTGGAGGGAAATTGCTTCAAATCCTGGCTCTACCATTTGATCTAAAGGCTTGTATTAGGGTGAGGGAGTAAGGCCCTTAACCCTTGAGGGAAAATTTAAGGTAGCACTGGGGTCAGCAGGTGCCATGGTGGTTAACGCTGGATTCCCACATGACTAAATGGGATTCGAGTCCCAGGTCCAGCAGCTTGAAAATCATGCCAGGCACATTTGTGCACGTACCCAGAATCCTGAGAGGAAAATGGAGGAGAAAGGATTATGCATGACTGTCCCCCTCTGTTGGGGGTGTCGGGTGATTTCTCGCTTTCCCTTTCGCTGTCTCTATCTCTGTGCCATATGGAAAAAAAAAAAAAAACTCTTTTTTTTTAGGTAGTGCCAAATAAAGCAGAAATTATATTTTATCATAAATTCTTCAAAAATCAAAATTCAGGTAAAATCCATGATAAAATATTAAAATTTTCAATAAAGGCAAGCTTTTTTGTTTGTTTTGCTTTGAGAACTTTTTATATGTATATCATTCCAGGAACACTATTTTCCAATCAGTCTGTGGTTCCACTGAGTCTTCCAAGGATGGGTATATAAGAGTTGACAGTAGTGGGACCAGCAAATGGCTTATTGGTAACAACACTGGATTCCCACATGGCTGACCATGGTTCGAGTCCCAGATTTGGTGGCTTGAAACAGAGGGCTTGTATGTGTACATACTCAAGATCCTGGGAGGAAAATGGAGAAAGGAATGCATCATGGCCATCTTCCTGGGGGGGGGGGGGATTTCTTTCTTTTTGTGTCTTAGTCTCTCCAGTGGGTGCATGCATCCTGTAGCAAAAATAACTCTCTTGAAAAAAAAAAAAAAAAAGAGTTGACAGTAGTGGGAGAATAGATTGATAATTACATAAACATGTGTGTTAGTCCATTTTGTGTAACTATTGTATAACAGAATACCTGAGACTGGGTAATTTATAAAGAACAAAAATGTATTCTCTCACAGTTATAGAAGCTTGGAAATCCAAAATCAAGGTACAAGCAGGTTAGCATTTGGTCTCTCTCCAAGATGGCACCTTAAATGCTGTGTCCTCCAGAGAGGAAGAACACTGTGTCCTCAAATGGCAGAAAAGTGGAAAAAAGAGAGCCCACTCCTGTGAACTCTTTTTAACAGCATTAATTCATTGACTTGGGCAGAACCCTCATGACCTAAACATCTTCTATAAAGCCCTACCTTCCAGCATTGTCAGGATTAGGTTTCAACATGATTTTCAGAAGGGACAAAAGCATTCAAACCATAGTAATGGATCTTCCTAATTCTTCAGTTTATCCCACACAGTCATATTTATAAAGTAACATGTTGATCATAGATGGGACTGGAGGTAGTGGACTTGTGTTACTCAACATACATTGTCAGAAGTGGAGTAGGTGTATTATATGTATTAAATAGTTAAATATATAATATAGTCCCCCTATAATGTAAAGATATACCACAGTATGAATCCATGAAGTTTTCAAAATACTTAATAATACTTTTTAAAGTGGGTAATGTTTTTGTGATCAATAGGAAAAGAAAAAAAAAAAAAAACAGGTAAAGATAAAGGCTTTGTACAGGAACTTCTACCAGTCTGTTTCCTGAAGACCAGGTCACCTAAGATAATTATTACCAGGTAGGAGTTGAGATATGCTCTATGACACTTATCACTGAGGGTGAGTCAATATTAAAAAAAAAAGCCACTTTCAACCAGCAACTCACCCATACCTCTGCCACCTACAACTTATATAAAGGCTTACAGTTTTCAGTCATTTCTCTATAAATTTCTCATTTCAGATATTCCAGAGAGCTATTTTATTTTGTTTATTTAATTTTTATGGTTTTATTTTATTAATAAATATTGTCTATGAGTGTATTTGCCCCTGGTTTCAAGCAACCTTCCTTTTTGAATCTATAACTTAAATATCTTTACTTCATGTGAACTTTGAGCAAATTTCTTAACCTCAATTTATTCCTGGTGGCCATAAGGAATAAATAAGATAAGACTTGAAAAACATCTCACTAGAGCCTTGTAGGTACTTAATAAATGTAAGAATAGAACATTTTAATGGTGGTCATAGCATATTATTTGAATAATTTTCCTCCCAATTCTAGGCATTTTATTGTTTGCCTGTGCTAGTTTTTCTTTTTTTCAAAGATTTACTTCATTTAATTTTATCTATATTAATTTGCTCAAAGAGGAACAGAGCAAGAGAGAGAGAGAGAGAGAGAGAGAGAGAGGAAGCAAGCCTCCAGGTCCTGACTCGAACCATAGTCGGCCATGTGAGAGTCCAGTGCCCCTAACCACCATGCCACCTGCTGGCCCTGTGTGCTAGTTTTTCCACCTCTCCTCCCATTTGCTCTTAAAAGGCAACCATTTCTGTGCAGATTCTTACTGTAGCCCTCTTTATAACTGGAGACTCTAGAATATCTCAGGTTCTCCTTATGTTGTGGGTAACAGGGCACTTAGCAATTAAACACCAGCTTTGCGCCCCTGACGGAACATACCCCTCCCACTGCAACTGTAGATTGTCCCCCCCCCAAAAAAAATAAGTCTTTGCGTAAGTGGGGGTGGGGGGTGATATCTGTATCAAGTAAACCCTCTGGGCTTGTCACACCCTAATACAAAACAAGAAATATCAAAGTTTTACTCAGTACACTCCAACCCAAGCCTGTGACTGCCCTTCTTCCCACAACGAAGTGATAAATGAAAGTGTTCCAAATAATGAATCACATAATAAATGATCAAGAAGCATTTTAAAATACAAAATCCTTACAATAGTCTTTGCGTAAAGCAAGTCTAGAACAAATCCAGGTGTACTTAAGGGCCTGCAGGGGGAGACTGTTTCTTAATTATTGGCCTACAGATCAGCTTCTGCTCTTGCTACCTGCCTTTTTCGCCTGTTCCTAGTTCAGGCTCTGAGAAGAGCTAAATAGGAGAGAGGATAGCTACAGTTATGTTCAAGTGAAGGAATAATATGCAAAACTGTTAGAGTCCCTCAACATGTCTTCACATTGAGATGTCAGAACCTTCTAAATGGAGATTAGAATTCCTTTTGTGTCTCCTGTCTCTGGAGTATAATCTTTCCTCCTTTGATTTTTTTTTAGTACTCTTCTTCTTTAGGAAGACAGTAACATAGACTGTTAGGTCCATCTTTATGAGAGCATAAAGTAATTTTGTTGCTTCAGGGGTAAGACTTTAGCAGGGTATCTTCTCAGGCATTATCTGTACATGAGACAGATACCAATTCTAGCCATACTCAGCTAGAGAATTGTGAGAGTTTCTGGTAAGTATATTCTGGAAATGTCTACATGATTAAACTATCTAAGAAGTCTGCCTTGGTGTTGCACTGTTTCTGCCCATACTTGGATGTACTCACTTACCTGACTTTTATTTCTTCCACCCCAAATCCACTGGGTTATAAACTAGAGATCTTAATTTTCTTAACTTTCTGACTTGTGCCCACTGAATACATTTCTGCTCTCCATTTTTTGCTTTAGTTTCCTCCATTTCTCTAACACCTACACACAATGGTCCAGCCATTGTTTAGAGTTAGACCAGTGGTTCTCAGACTAGTCTCCCCTGAGAACCTTCACAATAAGCCCCAGCTTGGACTTTCCTCCTGACTGAATGAATAAGAATCTCTGGAGGAGGAGCTTGTGCAATAGAATGTTTTAAAAGCAGCTCAATTGAAAATATTGAGTTATAGTAAGAAGCTATAACAAAGACTTAGCCCTTCCTCTATTCTTAGGCCTCCAGAGTCTCCTCCTCACTGGACCCCGAGTCAGCGCATCTACTCACATTGACCATCACTTTGACACCCTAGAGGTCTTCTCCATGGAAGGTCTAAGTAGGGCAAGAATAATAGGAGTTTTTTTTTTTTTTTTTGAGAGGTTTTTTCGCTATAGGGCACATGCGCTCGCCAGACAGACAGAGAGAGACATAGAGACAGAAAGCAAGCAATCACCCCCCAGAGGGGATGGCCATGCCGCAATCCCTTCTCCTCCATTCTCCTCTCGGGATCTTGGGCATGCACGCACACGCGCCCGGCGTGAGTTTTAAGCCACTGGGTCCGGGATGCAAACCATGGTCGACTACATGGGAGCCCAGCGACATAGCCTTTACGCTAACTGCTGGTTCCCTAATAGGAGCTTTTTTCACAGACACAAAAAAGGACATGGAATAGAGGAAACAAGAGTGTCAGATAAACTCCGATCTTCACAATTCAGATGAGCGTTTTCAGCCTACTCTTCATGTGTCCTCTTTGAAGCAAGCACAAACACTGGAATCAGAGCATAAGGGTTAGAACCAGAATCTGGCTGAGGTAAGGAGGCAAGGAGGTGCCTGGCTCACAAAAATGAGGAAAGTTCTCATTCCCAGGTGCTGACCCTTCACTTGCAAGACCCCGAGAGCAAGTGTTTCCTTAAATTCTGTGTCCTCTGTGCCTTTCACCTCTTCCTAGTCGAGGATTTGAGAAGAGCTGAACTAGGGCTTTCTCTAAAGGCATCTTGAGAAGAGAGGATAGCTGGAGTCACCTAGTTCAAGCGAAGAGTTAATAAGCAAAACTTACAGTCCTCTCAGCACATCTTAGCATTAAGATGCCAGAACTTTCTAAATGAAAATTAGAATCTTCCAATAACTCTCCCATAACACCCCCCAAATACCACACCAAATATGCAGTTTATGGAAGATTATGAAAGGTAAAGTCTAGTCAGAAAAACTCCACATTTTTATTCATATAGGAGAGGGTGATGACTTTATAATTGACAACTGAAAGTCGAGTATAACGATAGTTTCTCGGGTGACATATTAAATACCTCTTCATTTAAATTCTTCATACTTTCTATTTTATAAGGAATAAATGAGTTAATGCTTATGAGACACATAATCCAAAGCTGGCACCATTGAGTGCTCAATAACTGGTAACTATTTTTTCTCACCAGGAAGAGAATGGGACTCAAGAAACACTTATCACTCAAGATCACCGCATCAGCAATTCCACTTTATTCAAAGACAGAGTCAAGCTAGGTGCCGACTACGGACTCCAACTCTCTCCAGTCCAAATTCATGATGATGGCCAGAAGTTCTCTTGCCATGCTAGAGTCGGGCCCGACAAAATGTTGAGGAGCTCCACCACAGTCAAGGTTTTTGGTAAGAGTTTTTGATCTGGGGTCCAGCAGATGGAGAGGTGGTTAAGGGCACTGGACCCCCACATGGCCAACCATGGGTCAAGTCCCAGACTTGGCAGCTTGCTTTCTCATTTTCTCTCTCCCCTTTTCTCTCTCTCTATCGCTCCTTAGGAATGGGTTAAGTAATAATTGACCCTGATAATCAGGTTCCTTATGGAGCCTAAACAGTATTTGTTAGGGTTGAGAACAGATTTTATCTTTTTTATCAATATCACCATTTGTAGCTACTTAAAAATATGGCTCTGCTTGTTTATTCATAGAATTAGATTTCCCCTCTCCCTGTTTCCTGGCTTTCCTATTTAGTAAATGAACCAGGTAAGTTGTCTTTGGATAGAACCACATACAGGCTTTGACCTCTTTGTTGGTATCTTCCAAGTGTATATTAAAATGACCCTGGCACAGAAGTATAATACCTCTTGTAAGAACTCATATAAAACAAGCAAAAAGTGCCATGAAAACCATGAAATAAATACTCAAATGTATTACAGAGCCCATCTGTATGTCATAAACCCAGCTTATTTCTTCTTCCCAAACAATACTTCATTATTGGGCTCTTCATTCTCAGATAGACCAGGGACTAGAGGCTACCTCAGCTCCCTAGCTACTTCCTGCCTCTTTGTCTTTTCCTTCCTTAGCAGGGAATCACCCATCTATCACTCACCTACCCTTCCCCCTTTTAATGTCTAAATCTGATTGCCCTGTATCTCAAAAAGAACCTATCTCTCTACCATCCCTACAACTTTTAGTCATTATTCTTTCTTTCAGGTCCTTTAGTCTACTGCTGTTTGTCTGCCACAAATACCCCTCTCCCATTAGTGTTCCAGGGTTGCAGCTTGGTTTGTGTTCCCATGAAAGAAAGCACAGATGCAAGGATTTGACTTAAGTTAATTTATTTGGAAGGTCATGCTGGAAAAAGTCAGAAGAAAAAAGGGAAAGCGAGACAAGAAAGGGAAGGATTGTAGTAAAGCATATATTATTAGGCCAGTTGCCACTGGGGCTTAGAGCTCAGTCTCATTGGGAGACTCCAGGAGACAGCACAGGACACACATAGAATTATCCAGACTGACGAGCAAGAAAGCTTGTGTATTTATCCACTAGTGCCTCGTCTTTCATCACCATTAACCTCTGGACCTTCCAGTTGTCCTACTTGTGGGCTGAGTGTGATCCCATAATCCCAATAAACACTTAAGCAGAGAGACATAGGGGTGCCCAGTAAGAGGTCTTCAGTATGTAGGAATAAATGCCAAGTGGATGTAGCAGGAATTAACAGCAGCTGTGACAGGGTTCTTAATATTCTTCTCACTGGCTCATAGAAGGCTTTGTCTGCTATGCTCAGGGACTTGAAACCACTACAGAACAACATGATGTATTAATACTTGATCTACTTTGTGCTGAGTACTATTAAGTGCTCAAGATGTAGAGATGGATAAAACGCTTCTAAAGCACCATCAGGACAGCTATAATCATTGAAACAGTCCCTGATATTTTCTAGTGCCAAGCAACTAAACAAGTATCAAATGTTTTTCTGGTCCTCTTCAGGGGTCTAAAAATGATACTTTATCACTTTGTTTCTAGGTCTTTGGACATGTAAAACACTTCTCTTTTCTTCACCACCCAACACTCCTCTTCATTCCCAATTTTACTTTTTGACTCACTATGATCATCATTCGAGTATCAGTTACATACTGCATCTTCCAAAAGCCTCCTCTTACCCTTTGAGGTTGGGTTAGAGGCATTGCTTAAAAGCTTTCTTCAGATCCTACATGTTCTCAAAAATTGTACTTATCTCAGTGTATCATAACTTCTAATTTATTTATTTGTATTTCCATTAAAAATATAGATTTATTGAGGATGGTAAATATGATTCATTCACCTTTGTTTCCTAGGCATTTAGCAAGAACTGCCAGCCACATGCTGAGCATTTAATAAATATTTGATGAATGATGTACTTCTCTCTCTCTCTCTCTCTCTCTCTCTCTCTTTCTTTCAAATACACACACCCCACACACCATACCAACAGCTAACTTGGATGACATTCACTGTCACTAACTGTGTTTTGTTTGCCTTTAAGCTAAGCCAGAAATCTCCATGATTGTGGAAAATAGCTCCATGGATGTCTTGGGAGAGGTGAGTCATATTAAAATGTTTTAAAATCTATAGTGTCACATGTCAAGGTGTGTTAGGCTGCCCGGGCTATTCTCTCAAAGGAACTCACTCCACAGTCCTAAGCCAATTAACTGCTGTTGGGGATGAAAGGAAGTTGAACTGATTCTGGAAATCAAATGGGAATTTTTACTTCCAAACTTAGGGCTCTTAGAATATGTGATCTGCATCCTTAGTTTTTACATTTCCTGGAAAGATATAGTGTTTAAGTTTCAATTTACTAAAAACTGAGATGGATAGTGAGGGAAAACTAGGGTAGAAAGAACTGTGAATCCTGGTATACGAATGAGATTTTACTCAGCTGACATTTAATTTATATTAATCTGTTTTCTCTTCCCACATTCCCGTAATTTTTATTTTGAGGTAATGAGAAGAAATGTGCTCTTCTATACCCCTTCAAAGCCTTGGATATTGAGAAATGGCAAGGAGAAAAAAGGAAAGTAGCGCCATAAATCGGATGCAATAATTCCAATTTTAAAAAAGGAATTTGCCTTATATGCCATCATAGCTCTTCTTTTTCACTCACGCATGCCTCGTTACTGACTCGGAAAACCAGAGAACTTTCTTTCCTGGGGAATTTGTGAATAATTCCTTTCAATGCCATGCAATCGGCTACAGGACATGGCTTGTCTATGGATCTTTTAAGCTCTTGCCAAAACATTAGCGACTCTTCACTCTAATATGCTTATAATCTCTGCTGTAATTTTAATAAGCTATTATCTCTTTAAAAGTCCTCTCACTTACTTTTATCTTGTAGTTCTCCCAACAAGCATCTGAAATAGGTAGAGCACCTGTGAAATTGGGGCCTAGAACATCTAAAAGACTGGTTGAGTCACTAACAGAAGTCAGAACTGGGCTGCGTATTTAGCATGCTCATATCCAGGAAGAATGGATAATGAAAGGAAATCATGCTTCTGGGTCAGATAGCACAAATGTCAAGCCCTAATTCAACCGCTTGCAAGTTACATTATGTAATTAACCTCTGCACACCTCCACTACATCGAAAACTTGGATAGTAAATAAATACTTCACAGGGTTCTCGGGAGAATTAAATTTATCCGTAGTAATAGAGTATGCTACACATAGATAATGTCCTAGGAGTATTTCCTCCCTGCCGACTATTTGTCATTTACCTTCTCTCTTTCACCCATACCTGCCTCTACACTTTCATTTATAAATCTACTTGTAGCTGATTATAAGAGACATGTAGGATAATGGAAAAAGGAAAACAGAGCATAGAGACGCTGATAGGACTAAGTTTGAATTATCTTCTATCACTTACTAACCTCAGTCCCTAGGACCTATTTCTTGACTTCCTCATCAATGATTCTGTCCTCCCCAGAGCAATGCATGCAACGTCTTACCATGTACGAACACAAGTGTTTGGTAATGGTGAAATCCTCCCCACACCTTTCATTCCCTAGAAAGTAATTAAGCCAACTGTCTATATTGTATGCCTACTCTGTGCTACATGCTCAATATATTAGCAGCCCTCAGTGTCAAACCTATTGGTGACTTGCTCCGTGTGAACTGTGTCTTTCAGTGTTCTTAAACTTACAAAGTTGATGGCTAATTTAGATTTTCTGTAAAACTGGAAAGACCTCGAATTATTCTAACAATGATGCTGTCCAGACTTGTGGACATCATTTATTGAGGGCAGGACTTCGCCCCATTGTAGCACTCAGCTGCACTCCTGCTGCTGAGCATTAAATCTAAGGCTCCTCCACATGCAGCTCTTTGCATTTAAGGAAAAGATGCTGCTTCAAAGAGTTTCTCAGCCTACAGCTGATGATGTAGCACAAGAAGGCACAAGAGAAATGCATGAAAACTGCAGTTTAATCAGCAGTGCAGTCTTTCCATAAACTTCATATGTTTCTCTTTAATTCTTGTGCTTTATGCTTTAGCTCAATCATCTCCATGAGCTCTTTCCACACTCTACCTTTACTATCTTGGACAACATTTAGGGGGAAAAATCTGAAGAAAACTACTGTCATGAAACAGCAAAGACAAGTAGTTTGGGGCTAAGATGTCTCAGGAAGAGAGGCTACCGTATAAACAGATACCATAATCTGAAAACCATGCTGTGGCTCATTCAGAAGAGCTCCAGGAACTTTTTGTACAAAGCAACTCTTGTGTTTACTTGGTTTTGGTTTCACAAAGGTCAAACACTTGTGGACTCTGACTTTATTAGGCCCCATCTCAAATGTATATGCATTTTAGATTCATTATAAAAGCCTCTTATTTTTCCAGCATATTTTGTGGCACGGTAAGGTTCTGGCTCTGAGAGTCCAGCCCCTTGACACTCAGCAGTCACCATCATTTGCACTGGTGAGCACCCAAGCTTTCACCGCAGACGGAGAGGGCCCTGCAGGGAAATCACATAGAAAGTGAAATCTTTAGTATCAGTGAGATTTCTAGAAAAATGATCAGTACCCGACGGCAGTGTGGCCTGGATGTTTCATAAGACTAGTGTTTGGACTTCTGTTTGTTCCACACACAGTTCACAGTTCACAGGAAAGACAGGTCTGGCTCTTAGGGGTGCATGCTGAGTCCAAGAAGCAGTACTATTGAGCCAAGAGGTGAGGACAGAAGGAGGCAAGATACCATTGTTTTCACCATGATTTCTTCTGCTTGTGGGGAGATCGGTGCCCATAAAATACTTGGGCTATCCATGAGATAATAGGATACTGTCTCCCTCCTCTTGTCTTCCCTAGTTCTCTTGCTCCCAATCCCCATTCCTAACTTAGTTAAAAATGTAAATAAGTTCTATGGTCCAGCCTAGGAAGTGCAATTTCTGGCTTAGTCAACTGCAGTGCTGGAAGCCATAGGTCTAAGTGAGTTCAACCCCTCCTCCTGCCCCCATTCCTTCTTATGCATGTCCAAGAAATTGAAGAGTAGGGGGTCTGGAGAAAGGAGGTCATGGCATGACTAGACCCCATGGAGGGGCTTCTCTGTCTGTCTTGTGTGTACATACATGAGCACAATATCATTAATAGCATAAATTAAAAATAAACTGAAAAATAGAATGATCCTAGAATTTTTCCAAATGGCCAACTCTGGTACAAAGGGCAAGGGTAGTTTTCAGTTTGATTTTGTTCTCTTTCTAGACATATCCTTAGCAACCCAGGAAATTTTTCTCTCCCTATGGACTGTTAGGGAAAAAAGGAACTTTTTTCAAAGCATCTCTGAACATTTAAAGTTGATTTTTTTTTCTTTTAATCAGAGAACAACGGATTGGTATGCAGTTAGCATTTCCGAGGTGCAAGTAAAATCTAAAGCCTGCTGTTCAAATGGATGACTAGTCTATAGGCATAAAACAAAAGCAACTTATTAAAACTGACCTCAGGGCCTAAGAAGATATTCTCTGCCCTTCACTCACCCAGCCATGGTCTCTTGGCATTTCTTCATTTCTTTTTCTGTCTTTCTTTTTTTTTGGAGAGGTTTTTGCTATAGGGCGCATTCGCTCACCAGAAAGACAGAGAGAGACATAGAGACAGAAAGTGAGAAATCACCCCCCAGTGGAGATGGTCATGCTGCAATCCCTTCTCCTCCATTCTCCTCTTGGGATCTTGGGCACGCACGCACACGCGCCCGGTGTGAGTTTTAAGCCACCGGGTCCGGGACTCGAACCGCGGTCGACTACGTGGGAGTCCAGCGTCATAGCCATTACGCTAACTGCTGGTTCCCTCTTTTTGTCTTTCTACTTTTCTTTCTGCTCTTTGTTGTTGTTGTTTTTTTTTTTTTTTTACTCATCCCATCTCTGTATTTTGTTACTAAGTTTACTTATTTATTCCATGAGTGAAGAGGTAGAGGCAGAGTGACAGAACTCCAATAAGATCCCAACTCCATGATCCACGCCAGCCTCAACCTGTCCTGGATCGTGGGCACATGTGTCTTCAGCAGAGTCAGGAAGGTCTCTGGGCACTAACCTGGCACCTTCTCATGTGGGTCCGCTCTGCAGAGTTACATTTTACTGCTGCCCCACTGTTTAGGGCTTGTATCTTCTTTCTTTTTAAAAAAATTTTTTTTCACCATAGGGAATGTATTCTCACCAGAGAGAGAGAGAGAGGGAGAGAAAGTGAGAAATCACCCCCCAGGAAGGATGGCCATGCCTCAGTTCCTTCTCCTCTATTCTCCTCCCAGAACCCTGGGCACACGTGCACACGTGCTCAGCATGATTTTCAAGTCACCAGGTCCTGGACCCAAACTGCAATTGACTATGTGGAAGTCCAGTGCCTTAACATCCAGGCCACCACCTGTTGGCCCCCAGTCCTCTATCTTCTTTTTCTTTCTGAGTTTTCTTCATCTTTTCCTCACTAAATTCTTCCCGGACAGACCTTTATATAAAGTTAGATTATAATTTTAAATATTTGTGAGTAAATTTTTATATTGTCTATTAGTAATATTTGAAGCAAATGAGTTGAAACTCTAATTTTCTCTTTGCCAGTTGCATATGAGTTAGTTGAAGTATCAGATCATTGAAAAGATTCACAGGACTCAGACAGATGAAACCATTTTAATATAAGCAGATGGTACAGTGCTTCAACAACAGGGAATGATGTGCATTGGAAGGGCTCAGGGATCACACAGAATAAGCTTTGCATCCAGGTTTCAAATTGCCACCTCTACACACAGAAAATTCAGGAAACTGGGACCAGCAGTTAGTGTATTGGCTATGTCACTGGACTCCCATGTAGTCGACCGTGGTTCGAGTCCTGGACCCGGCAGCTTAAACTCACACAGGGCACATGTGCATGTGTGCCCAAGATCCTGAGAGGAGAATGGAGGAGAAGGGATTGTGGTGCCATGCCCATCCCCCCTGGAGGGTGATTTTTCGCTTTCTGTCTCTGTCTTTCTCTGTCTTTCTGGCAAGCGCACGTACCTTATAGCAAAAACTTCTAAAAAAAGAAAAAGAAAAAAAGAAAAAGGAAAAGAAAGAAAATCCAGGAAACTGAAGCTCTGCTTGTGGGGGAGTCTCTGAGGGTGAGCCGGTCACACAGGCACATACTGGCCACCAGAAATGCCTCACTCATTAAAACCTTTACCTTCACCAGCTAGGCATAAACCCAATTGTTTTTATTAAATGGTACTCATGGGCTGGTACATTCCGCCCTGAAACAGCTCACAGAGCTAGGATGTTAAGCAGCATTTATCTCTAGTTAATAAGATTTGAAGCTTGGTCATGGGTCAGCACAGCGCTGGAACACCCCAGATCAGCATTTGGTGCTCAACTCCCACCTGCTGAGATCAACTCCTACTCTGCAGTTTTTCTCTAAAATCAAAATCCCACTAAACTACTTGGCTTTGTATTTGTGCTAGAACTAAAATGGCTCTTAGTTGTGAGTCTAAAGTAGATTCCTAGTCTGAAAACAAATTTAAACAAAATGAAAGGGATGGGCTGCTGCAGGCAGGTCTTTCTCCTGAGGCCATGCTTCCTTCTCGGCCCTCACCTTCCATTTCATCTCCAGGATGGCCCTTTCCACCTCCTCTAAGGCTCGCTCCTTCCTTTCCACAGCCCTCTCCCTCCATTCCACTGCCCTCTCCCTCCTGAGCACTTCCTTTTCTCTCTGGCTGGCCCATAAAGCCAAGGTGCCCACCTGCTCCAGGAGCCTGCCCCAGTCACCCTCAATGCCCATGGAGAGCTGGGGCATTTGGGGTCTTGGGTCCTGGCGCTGCCCTGCCTGGCTATGGCCACTCTTCTCCAGCTCCTCTCTGTGCATGCTTTTCAGATGCTTCCACAGGGCTGTAGTGCCCACGTTGACCCCAGGACCACGGCTCACCTGCTTGCCACACAGGCGGCAGGTGGCATATTGGTTGGGGTGATGCCCAGCACGAGCAGGAGCCAGATGGAAAAACTCCCAGGCCTCTGAAAACCGGGTCCCCTTGTTGTGGGGCATTGGGATGGGCACAGCACTCACAAAAGGACCAACCAGTTCTCCCGTCTCACTGATCTCCTCCTCCTCCTTCATCTCTGAGTCCCCTTTTGTCTTCATCCTGGTTCCCCCCTCTTCCTCCTCTCCCCGCCTCATCCTGTCTCCTCTTCTATGGCTTTCTTTATTTTGTGCCTAGATGTGAGCCAAAAGTTTCTGTTGAGCCACCCACAAGATTAAATATGGATTTGGGAAGGAACTGTGGTAGCTCTTGGGGATTCACAATAATGACCAAAGTCTGGCCACACCTGGGTGGTATGATGTTTCCTCTTTTCTGCTTCACTGGAGGGTCAGTAATGAGTCATTTATTAGCAAGACAGCCTATGAATGCATTCTCTCCATGCCCCAGATACTTACTAATCCCTCCTTGCCTGGGCCAGAAAGACAAAACATTTTGGTTCTATAGCAAAGACTTTCTGTCTAACAATTGCAAAGCTCTTCAGTGAAGTCAATGTTCTGTGCATCGACCACCACCATGAGTACTTTAGAATACTGAAAAGTTCAGATTTTTTTTCTGGACCCTCCTCCTGGTTACTCCCACTGTCTCTATGTTCCTTATTAGCTATAAAATGTTTGAAAGCAAGAGGAATAGCCACAGGGTTTAGGTTGTTCAGGACTCTCAGGCCTGCGACCTCCCCGGCTCTTCTTCAGAGCAGGTAAAAGCAGGCACAGATGCTGATGTAGGAGAGAATCGTGTTTCCCAAGGACTGTTGCAGATAGAAGTCCAAAGTTTGCAGAGCCTGCCAGGTTTTGAGTAATAAAGTTCCCAGTGTGAGGTAAGTTTGTCTCTTGTAAGGTTCCTCTTAGGTTAAGATTCTAAGAAATCCAAAGGGCAGGCCTTGCTGTTTTCAGCAAAAGGAGCTGGCATGCACAGATAGGTAGAGCACATCTCCATGGAAGTGGTGTTGTCTGGCTGTCTTCGGCAAGCACCTCACCGTACTCCACTTGCCCTGCACGATCCTCTGCAAAGCCAATAAGACCTTCCTGAAGCATCTCACTTTAGAGGTTTGACTTATTTACCCCATTGTAAAGATAAATAAATAAACAGAAACTTGTATTGCACTTTAAAAACAGCCTGACTTCTCTTCCTTTCCCAAATTACTTCTTGAAAGAATGAGGGTTTCAATTATCAATCTTTGCAACCCTGAATGGTAAGGAAATCCTCCCCCCCCCCGCAACCACAATTAGGTACTTACAGGCACACAGGGCCCTGGACCTGTCTCCAGTCTCTCTGGTGCAGAATGACTGTGCTCCTGCACACCTTGGGTGGCTACTGACTCCTACCCTCAAGATAAGGTCACCTCTAGTTCCAGTTTCCTCCCACTTCCCAGGGAGCTTTGCTTCCAAATGGGTGTGTCTCTGCCCATCAGGTTTTTCTGAAACAGGTAGACTTGAATGCAAACCATTTCTCTGCCTTCTCCATGCCAAAAAAAAAAAAAAATAGTTTCTGGCAAATATTATGCTGCAAAAAAGTACGTCAAGCACCTACAAGTCCCAGCTCTATTTCCAATAACTAGATCATTGGGTCTTTGAAGTGAAGAAAGATATACAAGTGGGGGCAAGGATGAAATATAGGCAGAGCAACCATATGCCTCAAGGACACTCGTGTCTTCAGGCACTTTGTGCAACTTTCAGATTATGAGTTCCAATTTTTGGTTTGGCAATCATGGCTGATGTAAATACAGTCAGAGACAAGCCAAAGAATTTGCAAAAAAAAAAAAAAAAGGAAGATTAAATAAAAGAAAATCCCTAAAATGCAGAGAAATATGGCAAGTTGAGAAACAGGTTTGGGATGCTTTTTATTATGTAACTAGACTTGGAGAAGCAAAATACTATTAGCTTCTGCTCTTGGACATAAAGAGGTCATCACAGCTTAAGTAAAAATATTTTTTTCAAGCTTTTGTTTGTGTTTTGTTTTGTTTTTGCCATAGGGTGTGTGTACTTTGTGGAGAGAAAAAGGGACACAGTGACAGAGAAAGTGAGAAATCACCCTCTAGGTAGGATGGTCACCACAATCTTTTCTCCTCCATTCACCTCCTGGGATTTTTGGGCACACGCACGCATGTACCTGGCATGATTTTAAAGCTGCTTGGTCTAGGATTAGAACTGGGGTTAACCATACGGGAGTCTAGCACCTCAACCACCATGCCACCTGCTGACTCCATTAAAAACATATTTTGACATATATGTATTATTAACATTAAATATGTGTATATTTAAATTTTGGAGGGAAAACTTACCCAGATGTCATAGGAATATATGAAAGAAGCTGTCAATAAGAAAAATCATTGTGTCATAGAATTTAAAATAGTTGCGGAAAAGCAGAAGACGTAGATATTACAAGTTTAAAAGAGGGTAAAAGAGGGAGAAGAAAGATTCTAAGTAGGAATGAGGAGTTGGTAAATACCAGGGAAACTTTTTTTTTTTAAGATTTCCCTTTCTAGACTAAAAAGCTAAATGTTTTCAACTTCCTACATTCCAAATCCAGTGCCAACTTTGTTATTCTTTATTATTCTTTGACATTTTGTGAGAAAATAAAATCTGCCATAGTCTTTATATTGACCACAACATTAATTAATTAGTTAGTTAATTAAAAAACTAAATGTTGGGACCAGCAGATGGCATAATAGTTCCATTGCTGGACTCCCATGTAGTCAACTAGTCAACTGTGGTTCGAGTCTTGGACCCAGCAACTTAAAACTCACACAGGGTGCATGTGCGTGCATGCCCAAAATCCCAAGAAGAGAATGGAGGAGAAGGGTGAGTGGCATATCCTTGCCCCTAGAGTGTGATTCCTCACTTTCTGTCTCTCTGTCTCTCTCTCTCTCTCTCTCTCTCTCTCTGGTGAGTGCACATGCCCTACAGCAAAATCTATAAAAAATGCTTTTAAAAATTATCAAAAAACAAGCTAAATGTTTTAAAAATGATTCCAATGAGCAATTCTTTGGAGAGGTACTGTACAAACTTAGGCAAGATAAATGTAGGTTAGCTTACAGGTCACCATTTCAGCATTTCATCTGGAGAAATAAAGAAATGATCTATCTTAAAAATCAGACCTGAATTAATTTTGTCTGTCTTATCAAACTCATGAATGCTCCAGCTATCCACTGGCTTCCCTCTGTTTTCAGAAAGGGCGATGTCCCCAACTCACACCTGGGCCTCAAGAAGCTTTACTAAGGAGCCCATCCATCCATCCATTTTCATAAATTCCCCACTACTTTCCAACATAGATCATCTGAAGAATCCAGGCCCATCTCTCGCCGTCAACAAAATTTGTCACTATTCCCTAAGTTTTCCCAGATTTCACTTTTCTTTATAGTTCTACAAAACTGTCTGAATACTTCTTAGCACTTACTACATAATTCTTTGTGGTATTACTCACTTATTTCACATGTACTGAGAATAATGTGCTGGGAAAAGAAATAATTTGGCTTGTCTCTCGATCCAACAGTCACATAATTAGCAAATGAATGATTTTTGATTTCTCACTTAAGTAACATGTATGTGTGGGTGTGTGCATGCATGCACATGTGTTAATGCACATATACTCTTGTGCACATTGACTATTTTTAACAAGTTGTTCTTCTTGCTCATTTGAGCCAAGTAAAAGTTTCCAAATAAAGACAGCCTTGCTTGCTCAGCAAAACTATAAATGCTTGACATTTTCTAAGATGTTTGACTCGAGCAAAACTACTTTAGCCTGTGGCTTTTCAATCTTAGAGACTGGCAGGAGTTTTAGGACAAAAACCATATTTTTAAACAAAATCTAGTAACATAGAATCTGGCAATAGTATAGAATATTTGAAATCTAAATCAATCCTTAAAATCTGGATTCAAGGACCAGCAGATGTCATAATGGTTACATTGCTGGAATCCCACATAGTCAACTATGGTTCAAGTTCCATACCCAGTGGTTTAAAACTCACACTGGGCATGTGTGTATGCATGCCCAAAATCCCAAGAGGAGAATGAAGGAAAAGGGATTGCAGCATGGCCAACCCCCCTGGGGGATGATTTCTCGCTTTCTGTCTCTCTGTCTCTCTCTGTCTGTCCAGCTAGTGCATGCACCCTATAGCAAAAATCTCTCTAAAAAACAAAAACAAAAACAAACAAACAAACAAAAACTGGATTCAGAGAATCCATGAGAGTCAAATCTTTTCAACATTTCTTAGAAGCTGTTAAGTGATTTCTTCAGTGAACCAGCTGCCCTTGTAAATAATAGTCCTACTGTTCCTGATATTACCATCACCTTCTTTTTTTTTGGAGAGGTTTTTGCTATAGAGCATGTGCGCTCACCAGAAAGACAGAGAGAGACAGAGAGACAGAAAGCGAGAAATCATCCCCCAGGGGGGTTGGCCATGCTGCAATCCCTTCTCCTCCATTCTCCTCTCTGGATCTTGGGCATGCACACACACGCATCTGGTGTGTTTTAAGCCACTGGGTCCAGGACACAAACTGCAGTCGACTACATGGGAATCCAGCGACATAGCCATTGAGCTAACTGCTGGTCCCCCATCCCATCTTTTGATGCTTTAACAGAAGATGAATGCATCGGACCACGAGAATGATTAAAAGCATTGGATTTAATACAATTAAATCACTAGATGGCATAATGGTTATGCCGCTGGCCTCCCACATAGTCAACAGTTGTTCAAGTCCCCAACCTGGTGACTTATACTCATGCTAGGCGTGTGTGCGTGTGTGCCCAAAATCCCAAGAGTGAAATGGAGGAGAAGGGATTGTGGCATGACTATCCTTCCTGTGGGGTGATTTCTCACTTTCTGTCTCTCTGGCGAGTGCATGTGTCCTATTGCAAAAATCTTTCTAAAATAATAATAATACAAATAAATTATTAAAGCCAATGGCTTTAAAAGTTTTTTTTATCAGTACAATAGTTAATATTTTCTTTTTTAAAATTTTTTCATTTCAATTTATTTATTTGCATTCATTCACTGTACATCATTACAACATACAAAATGAGATTTTCCATCCAGAGTACACTGTATATTGTCTCAATCAAGCACATCAACAAACATGTTATTGTCAGCAGATGATCTTCCATTTCTTGTTTTCTGTATGCTTAGCTTTTTTTCCCCCCATCCTTGATTCCCTATCTCTCCCATCCTTGATTCCCTATCTCTTACCCTCTGCCATCTCCCATTCTCCTCCCCCACTGTCTCTGGTATCTATGTTTGCTTTCTATACTGTTTCCCCCCACATTTTATTGAATCACCAAAGACCCTAGTCAATCCAAATACCATCATAGCAAACACAGGTGACATACACATTTCCATGAACTCAAGTCTAACTTTACACATCCTATAAAGTAGCACCTAGCTGGGGCTACATATCCTACTGCAGTCATTGAATAGATATATTTTTTTTCTGAAACTTTTTTTTTGTAACTCAATTTACATTCCTTCCATAAGAATCATCACAGCACACAAAATGCAATCTCCCAT